CTGATGACATTTTTCATGTTGTGCCACCATTACTGCTATCCCAAAAACAGGCTTTGGGCAGCAGTGCTGGTATGGGTTGTATCCAGGTATCAGGGGGGCAATGGCCTTGCAGAGCAGGTGACCTGAGTGGCTTACCCTACTGAAAGGCTGCCTTACTGCAGCCCCCAGGTGCAGCTGTGGAACTCAACTTAGTTCAATGAGAGCTTTTTGCAAGAGAGAGACCTAGCCCCAGACATGGCCTGACAGCCAGGAAAAACAGCACTTGACCTGACTGCAACCTTTTTGTGTACAAAGTATGTAAAGTAGCTTGTCTCCTACTCTGGCAAAGGAGGCTTTTCTATTGGGAAGAGGGATCTGTCTTCACCCTTTTTCAGTACAAGTTAACAAAAAAGCAAACCCTTTGGTAAAGTCCAACCCTACTGCACTAAAGGAGCTTCCCCAAGTACAAGGCCAGTGTGGAGGGGTGCTACAATGAGGAAGCAGTACCACAAAGTCAGGAGATACTTCAGGGTCTGGGTAGGAGGAGAAAAAAGAAGTTGGGGCAGTGGGAGGACTAAAGCAGAGAGCTGACTGGGAGAGTCAGGGAAAGGGGAGGCTTTTTGATCAAGTCTCAAGCAAGACTAGGGGCATGTTGGCTGGGAACTGGAACCACTTGGCTGGCTGGGTCCCTTGGAAATGACAATAGTATTGGGAGGCAGCAGCACCAGGCTGCCTCCACACCAGTAAGTGAGGTTGGAGCACAATGCAACCTGTGACACCAATGACTTCCCCCCAGCCCGGGGAAAGAGGTGTCCTGTGAAGCTGGCCCTGGAGCGTCTCTCAGACCAGCATAAGTGGGGAAGGTAAAGGCACACAGAGGGCTCTCCAAGCCACATCAAGCACAAGAGAGGGGAATTTTGGATATGGATTGGTAGCTTAGTGCCTAAGGCACTTGACTGCTAACCAGAAGGCTGGCGGTTCAAACCCACTACCCACTCCTCAGAAGGAAGACGGGGCAATCTACTTCCGCAGTGATACTGCCTCAGAAACCCAAGGAGGGGTCGCTATGAGTTGGGTCCGACTTGATGGCACATAACAACAACACAACAATAATACACGCTCTGTTTAAGTTGCCTACCCCCAGATATCGCACTGTGATGGGCAGTGCCTTGGCTGTGGTTCACAGAAGGGCCTGTGGAGGCAAGAGGACATAGGCAGGGTCCCTCACCCTATCTGATGGGCCATAAGCTCTGGTCTCTCTGTCTCCTCCAACTTTAATGCTCTCTTCCATTTCCCTGGGCTATCCCCTCCCTTCCCAGGACACCTCTAACCCTGGAATCCAGGGCCGTCCAGTGTGCAATCCACGTTCATTGGGAGACCCATTTATGTCCTTGCCTGGACAGTGGCTCCTTTAAGGTGGTGCCCCTGTCAAGTCAGGCTAAGATCTCCAGGGGCTCCCTTTTCCTACCCTAGCTGTATGCATGCTTTCACAGGCATGTTGGGCAGAACTTGTGGACTAGGGCATCTGAAAGAGCCCAGGACATAAGAATTCTCACTGTGTAATGTTGGAGACCTCAGGGTTGGAGTGCTAATTTAGCAGAAAAAGGCAAAGCAGCTGGATCTCTTGAGCCTCCTTGCGCCATTCCCCACAGACACCCTTGGGAGGAAGGTCAGGCCTTACCTTGTGGGCGGTGCTGACACAGCGCTGGTAGGCTCTGACCAGGTCCGAGCAAAGGAGCACCTCCTGCAGGTTCTCACGGTAGCATTGGAGGATCTGGGCCTGCAGCCCTGAGCACACGGGCTCTGCCTGCCGGGGCCTGAGGAAAGATGGGTGAATGATCTTGAAGGTGTGATCTAATGCCAGCTGACCAGTGCTGATGGCTGGGCACAGGCTACTTATAGCCTCTGGATGTCTCTCTCTAGTCTGAATTTTGGTGACAGAGGGACAGCAGGGGGGCTATCCCTCTCACATGGTGCAATGTCGGTCATTGCATTGAGGATGACAACCACCAGCGTCCATTTAGCCCTCACAGAGGATGGGTTCTGAATAGGAGAGGAAGAACACATAAGTTTGTGTTGTCACCCAGCTCCCGTGCCAGCAGGCAGCAGAGGACACTACCTGGGTGAAGGCTGGCTTACTGGGTTTGGGGGCTCAGTGGCAATGTCAGACCTCTGCTCCCTGTGAGGACCAAGTCACCCACCCTAAGTTGCCTGCCCAGGGCTGTGCTTGCCCAGCCCCTCCCTAAAACTTTCTGTGTATGTCATTCACATGTACTTGTGATCACATGGCTTATATAAGAATTTATTTATATTGCGATAGAGTTTTTTCCCCTAATTTTAAAGCTAATACATGTGCAATGAGGAAAACTGGAAAACTATAGTAAATATCTAAAAAAAAAAAAAAAAACTTTCCAGAATCTCAGCTCTCAGAGATAATCACTATTTTGGGGTACTTTACTATTTTTGCTTTCTTCTTTTATCAAAATAGTTTTTTTT